GATTTTAAACTTATTCAAGCTAACAGAAAATATTGGCAACTGCGGAATGGCTGCAACATCAAGGGGATAATGTGTTTTTTTTAACACAAGGTCCAAGGAATCCTTCCTTCCACTTCAGCCTAAAGGTTCAGGCTAGACTCTAAAATACTCCCCATCTGGGGTTAGTAGCCTACTACCTGTTGCTCTGCCTTTTTTCTGGCAGAGACGATGCAGAAATAGAGGAAGCTCCTAGAGTCTAAAGGTGCCTTAAAAAGAACAATTAAAGAAAGACTCCTGCTGCTTCCAGCTGAAGTTTAACCTTTTTTCACCAAAGCATTGTACCGAACGAGACGCAGGTGCATCACCAAAGCCCCCGCTGAGATAACCCACAGACCCCAGGCACAGCTTAAGATGGAAGCTGGCGGCTGAAGGAACAGGCTGCCTTCAGTTGCTCAGTGCAGAGTTTCCCTTTGGGATGATTGAAATACATCTATCTATCTATAAGAAAGCACAAACTGGAGCTGCCCACTGCTGCCCCCTTCTGGAAGAAAAAGATCAGCCACATGACAGCAGCCTGATAAATGCTCTGACTCATTCATCATTTCTGCACATCCAGAATCTGGGGATGAATTGTTCATGAGCTTCAGCATAGCGGTCCGTCAGATTGGTGGAGCTCTGATGAAGGGAGGCTGCTATCAGTCTCCCCTCAGAATAACAGCGAGGCTAAATGAAGGAAAGCTACGGAAAATGTTCTGGAAGGCTTGTTGGTACCCCTGGCTGTCACTCCTTCTGACACAAACACCCACACCCTTCAATGCACAAGCAGGATGAGAGCTTGGTTTCCATGGTAACGGCGCCTACAGGATGACACAGGGACAGCCACGGCCGCCAGGTTTCCCTTGTTGGTTGGTTGGAGGAGGAGGACTCTCCATCTCGTGGAAGCGTCTGGATGAGGAAGAAGAAAATAAGATGAGTTCAAAAATCAGCAAAGAACCAGAGACCCTGCATTATGGCCTCTGCTCAGATTACTAACATCCGGCAGGTCCTTGGAACCCTGGACCATCTTAATGCACAGAAGGTCTTTGCTTCAGAAGGTCCATTCCCTACCTGATGATCTGCACCAGCTCCATGAAAGCTTCATCCACGTTGTAGCGATTCTTAGCAGAAGCCTCCATGTAGTGGATCCTGTTTTCTCTGGCAAACGCCTGAGCGTCCTCCCTGGAGATCTGCAGACAGCAGCTCAATCATTTCTTTGTTTATCATCAGAAACCAACAGGTCAGACGAGTTTGATCCAAACCTATAGATCCGTCTACATTAATTCAGTTCTATTCAGTTTATTTCTATGGCTCCAATTCACATCATGTCATC